TGGAACGAAGTTACGGAAAATTAATTAACAACCGGAGACGTAACAATACGTACAAATATCTCTATTGACAGCAATTAAATGTGGCTAATTGTAAAAGTTAGATTACGTATTCCTGTTTTATACTGATTCTATTTCTGGGATCTTGTGAAATATTTTCGCCTAAGTTTATTGTCTCATGACGAGGGGTTTGAGGGAATGGGTTTACGACCGAGAGCTAGACATAATAAGTTACTGTCTAGACTACATAAGTGTTGTCGAAGGTCTGAGCTATTATGTTTTTAATTGGGGTCTTATTTTGGAAATATAATTTCGAAATCCAGTTGAAATATTCACAAAGGTTTTGGTTTAAAAAAAAAAGTTATAAGAATACACAATTGAGCGTAAGGTTATTGGGTTTTTATGGACTTTCGGTAGACCTTACATTTTTGTTCTTGGTTAGTTTGTGTGCAAAAAATTGTAAAGATTAAAAGTAATAGTATTTTTTCCTTTATTAGGGGTTTGAATAGTTTGCTTAAATTTATTATTGTATGTTGAAGTCAATGTTTGACTGAGGAAATTTAGACGTATGATTCCATATATTTACCATTAAGTTATCATTGTGTTTGGTTGGTTGAATAACGAGTTTCCTTTATCGGCTCTTTCGATGACATTGTTTTAGTTGTTTCTAAGATGTGAAGGCCTTTTATTTTTGCTGATGTCAATTTTTGTTTTATAGGCTTCTTGTTGTTTGGTATTTTCCAAGTTTTTCTCCAATCTACAGTGATGTAGTTGAGAGCTCGTATTAAATCACACAATGAAAAATAAAGTAAGAATAATAAAAATCACATGCGCTAAATAAATGATATTAACATATTAACCGCAAATATTTTGTACGTTAACCCCACAGTCTTTGTTTTAACGTCTCCTCCTATGAAAAAAAAAAGGAAAATAATGTATATATATACAAAAAAGGTCAGCAAATATAACAAAAGAAAAACTTGTTTTTTTAAGAGTTTATCGTGTAATATGTTGAATATCAGGGATAATCGGTAACGTTTAACATAAATACGTGCACCAGATGAAGTTCGTACAAACATGTAATAAGCCTATACGTAATTACAATGTATAGCAGCAATTATTTTTGAATAGCACGTCATAACTAGGTAGCAGTGATGGGATTCAAATATTTTAACA